CTCCTTAGAGGTAAATATTTCCGACCAGACAGGTAGGTGGGTGAGCAGTAGGTCATCAAGGAGGTGTGTGGCAAGACTGGCGTTGAAGATGCCCAGTGGGCAGCAAAAATCAACTACCCGTGAGTTGACAGAGGTGGATGCAGTCAAACCAAAGAGACGTTGGCTGAGGCCGGTCAGAGTCTCATTCAAAGTGCTGCAGACGTCCTCAATAATCTTTGGACCATTGTCACTCCACTCGAGGTCAGGTTTGATGGCGACTAACGACAGTCGCCATACATTGGAACGGCTGTTCACGCCATCGTCCGTGTCCTTACTGGTACAGGACGTCTAGTGAGGAGGGAGAGAGTGAGCAGTAATAATGTTATACAGCCTTTAAAGTTTCGCAGGTTCGTACATTTTTAAGCATTTGGGGTTTCAAAAACAGGCTGAATGTGCATATTATCAGAAAGGAGGACGCTTCATAACTAAAAAACAGTTTTCTTACGAATAATAATAATCAGCCTACTGCATCTTACTGGTGGACCCCATACGTGCAGTAGGCTGGGCGGGTAAATTGACCCAACTGTCATTTAATTCGAGGGCCTCGGCGTGTCTTCGTAGCTCAGTTGGTAGAGCGTTGGCTGTATTAAAGCCTCTCTTGATGTGGATTCGAATCGCACCGAGGCTACACATATTTCACAATTGGATCAACTGTGCGCATGCGAAGCAGGCAGAGAAATGCAGAATTTATTCCATTCAAAATAATTCCTCAACTGCTCATTAGCTGCAACCTGTCGTTGCATAATACCAATGAATGAAAGAATAAGTTTTGAATTCGTACGCAAAAGAAATTAATGCCAAAACAGAGAAGTCATTGTATATTGTCACGTAGGCTACTGAGTAGAATTAGGAACCTAAACAACGCACACTTTATCTTCCCATAGGGTGGCAATAAACAACGACCTTGCTGTTTTTTTCAATGTTTTTTTTCGTACGAATTGTTGTATTCCCTCATTCTTTATTGACGCTATGTGGCGACAGCTCGTGGCTGATGGGCAGTCACGCAACTGTTTTGGATCCAGACTAAATTCTGCATCATTTTTCCGCTTCAATGCAGCATGGACCAACCTTTGGTGCTGTTATTAATATGGGCGAGTTTAAGATAAGTTCTGAGCAATGCAATGTAGGTAAATCATCGAGAAGTAACCAAAGGTGCGTGGATAAAACGTACGCGTAATTGGAGGCAACGGGTAGCCGGGGTTTCTTGCGTCTTTTGACTCTCCAAATAGGGCAGGAAGATGCGATTCCACACATCAAGGCACAGTTTGTCAACAAGAACCTGAAAATGATTTTTGCGTAAATAATCTTAACTGAAGGACACGAAGAAGGTTATCATACGTAGTATAATGAACGCGGACAGAGAACTCACCTTGGTTTCCTTTAGACCATCAGCTAGCCTAAGAATAGTCTCGATTTCTGTGGTACTTCCACACACCTCCAACGCACAGAGGACGCACTGTTGGTTAAACTCCAGAGCGACCGGCAAGGCAAAGGAGGGCGAATCAGTAGAGATTCGAATTAACCTCTGCCATTGCGAACGAAGGAAGTTATGAAGTCGAGTCTGTATGGGAAGCATAGAGGACGAATGAGTGTGTGTGTGTGAAGGAGTTAGAAATAACAGCTTTGAGAGAATAGCGACTTAAAACCGCTGAGAAACAAATAATTCAATCTACTAGTCCGTTGGATCGCTCGTTCAGGTAACGTTGCTTCGTAAATGTACTTACTTGTACTTGTTACGGCTGTGAGCATGCCTGCTCTAGTCAGCTTCAATTATGTCACGGACGGTACCCCTCCACGCGTGACGATTGGCGGCAGTGGATTTGTAAAGCTCCACCCAGTCTCTTCTCTAACGACGGAGACCGAAAATAGAAGGTACAATAATTGCTTCCATGTCTTGACGGAAGGTGTCGAGTTAAGTCTTCGGTTGCCTTCCTCTTTGACGCCTCCAGGTAGGCTGCGGCGCCGGATCGAAAGCAGCATGGCAAAGTTCGTGGGGCGAGCGACGGAGAACGTGCCGAAACCACCTCAGTCGCCTTTCTTGAATGGCCCGAGATATCCTCGCGATAGTATCGCAGTGAGTGCGGACTGGCTCAGTCGAGATAAAGTCGATATACTTAACTCGTAGGATGGTCCTCAGGCAGCGGTGGTCAAATATCTCCAGTTTTCGCCCATCTTCAGTGCGCGAAGCCCAACATTCACATCCATAGAGGAGAATTGACCGGATAAATACACTGTATACACGAATCTTCGTGGCGATGGAGATGTCACGTATAAGTGTCGTAGCCCATCCGGAGATGTCACGTCGGATCCATAGGCGCTTTCGAAGGATTGAGAAAACCCAGCGAGCAGCATCGGTGCGGGAGACAATGGCGTCCTTGCCCTGCCCATTCGGTAGCAGTTTCGTCCCGAGGTTTTTAAATTTGTCTATTTCAATTTGCTGGCCATTAATTCCCAGGAGCGCCTTCTCCTGGTCAGGGATGCAGCTGGAGAAAAACTTAGTCTTCCCGGTATTTATGGACATACCAACCGACATAGCGATCTCATTCACCCGCGACACTACAGACTGTTGACCACCAAAGTTTGAGACTAGCAGCGCAATATCATCGACATAATGCATGAGAATGAGATCCACAGCCGACACTTATTATGAAGAAGGACTGAAGGAGGTTGGTGGGATTATATACCAACAGAAACAGGGCTGGCCAACGAGTCATAGTGAATAATCATTGCAACACTTGCTTGCTGTCGTCGTCAGCCCTATAAAAGGCAGCTTTAAACTTCTGCCTAGCTATTTTCTTTACGTAGTAACGGAAGCCTTTTCCAGAGTAGTAAAAGGCGGGAAAATAGAGTACAATAGACTTCGTTTCAGACAGCGCTACCTTTTGGGATACAAAGGCCCGTTCGAAGCTCTGAAAGACCGCCACCTCGGATTTGTTGAAGTAAGACGCTTTGGAGAGGAGTTCTTCGACTTCTACAAGGCTTGCGGCAACCAGTGTCACCTCGCAGCTAAAAGGTTGGAGATAAAGGCTGTTAGTAGATTGGGAAGAATAGACGAGAGAAGACACACTGCCTTAGATGCAGCGCAAGTCTATTGTCACTATAAGCTCACTTGTTTCAGCCGTTCCACTTTCTGGCTTGAGGCAACTGGCCGAGGCGTTTCTGTGGGTTATGGCAGGTCGTTTGATCGTTAGTAAACGAATAAGGCTCTGTAATAGTAGCGAAAATTCGATTCCCAGGTG